ATGACCTGTACATCGAACATTAAGGAAAAGAAACATGTTTATGCCTATGAAGTAACAATAATACATGAAGACAATGAAGCCTTAGCAATTACACAAAAGTTCCCAGTACACAGTGAATATGACAGTGATATACTTGCTGAAGGAACTTGTGTAAGCATACAATTATCCGAGTTAGCTAAATTTATAGATGAAGAAAAGGTAACTTAACATTTAAGTCTTCTACCAACATAATCGTTAATAATATTTTAATTTTAAATTATTTAACTAGTTACTACATTATCGTGTTAGAGTTTTAGAGGTAAAATCGCCACGTAAACAGAAACCTGCACGCAATAGCCAGACAAGCACAGTATTGCATCCAATTGATTTTCAACAAACACAAATCGAAGGCTCCAATTTAAAAAATGTACCATCCGAAATAATTGTCACACGAAAAATGGATGATATACCCTATGCTGATAATGCTACTACACCAACAAGTACTGGTACTGCATTCTCTTCTGAAGATGAGCTTGATAGAATTCGACGTCGTTATAATAGAAGACTTGAGGGTAAACCAAATGAAAGTGACTCAGATAGTGATCCAGAATTTGAGGCTTTTATAGCTAAAAAATGGGGAACACCACAATTACACTTTAATAGAAAATATTTGAAAAATCCTTCAAGTGATAGTTCTTCGGTAGATGATACTGCTGTGATGAGATTTAAAAATGGTGATACTCTAACAAAAATGGATAAGAAATTCGAGACCGCTGATAAAGTATCTATATCCAGTACGAGTACCAGCTATACGAAGAAAGTGACAAATACTTTACGTAAGAGTTTCCGTAGTTTGAAAGCTCCTATTATAGAGCTGAAACCGTTTTCGAAAAAATCACCTGAAAAAAATGTTAACAAACAGGAAAAGGAAGTGCCAACATAAAAAAAAAATTAGAAGTGTATACTGACATATAAGTGTGTTATGATTCATTTTTAAGAGATCTACCTGTATGTATTATTTCTACCTTAAAATTTGGAAAAGCAATATATTAAAATTTATACGTGCTGTAATAATAAAGATTATAATGCAAGATTAATTAGTCTTTTTAGAATTTAATATTTGTACTCTTTATAACAAAAAACATAGGTATGGTATTTAAATCGAACCTTATATTTGGTAAAACTTTATATGTAATTTGTTTTTGCAAAATTAACATGTCAGCAATTAACGTTTTTTCATCATTCCGTAAAATAACAGCTGATTTCTTTTGTCACTTATTTTAAAGTCCAAAATCAGCTGATTTGAAGTTTTCTAAACATTTTTCTAAAGTAAAATTTGATTTTTTTAAGAGTTTTGGTAAGTTCTGATCAAATAAATTTTGCCTTTTTGTATTTATAGAAGTCTAAATTGATGATAAATTGAGGGAAACAGTAAATTATTTCGATATAGCAGCGAATGTTCGTATTTACCAGAATTTTGAATAGGGTGAATTAGATAAAAATTAGATAAATAAGGTATTACCATTGTGAAAATTTTTTAAGTTGTTTAATAAATAAATAAATAAATTTGAAAAATTTTAAACAAAAATAATAAATAATTGTAATAAATAAATAAATAAATATTTACATAAGTGCAATGCAAAAAAATTCCTAGGAAATTTCAATTTATTTTACCTCAATTTACTCGAACTCGCACACGGCCTAAATATTAAACTGTTCTGAATATTTGCACAAATGTCAACATTGTTCCTTAGAAAATTTATTATATTTTGGATAATTTCTTATTATTTATATATTTCACATTGCAATATTGAAAAATATTGTCGTACAGGTTAACAAGATTTATAAACTAAAAAGCAAAATAATATAAAAAAGTGAAATTCTTATATTAACACTATAGAAATTATACATTTACAATTTGTCACAAATAAAAAAATATATCTTGCAGTGTATGGTATGTTCAGTGCATACAGAAATTCTATTAATTTTTTGACATTTCAGAAGGTTGGTAACTCTAAATATAAATCAAAACATTTGTTAACCGGTGAAGTTGTGCATTTGTATAAGATTTTTCATTAATAATAATAAAACGTAGAATTTTGTAAAATTGTAAATAAATTTTATACATAATAAAATGGGTGTTACTGTTTTATTTCCATATCCACTACATGAAAATAAAACAAATACACAAACACTGGATTACTTGACTAAGCGTTTGCTCTCACTTGGTGCTGTGCTATCAGGACAATTCCTTGTGGATTGTGAAACTTATATTTCTTCACCACCGTTTCCATCTAAAGCAGTGCATGTGCTACATGATTCAGAATATCCTGCTTCTTCATTTTCTATATTAGATAATGGTGCTGGCAAGCAAATACCAATGGTGGCAGACAATCTTTTTGATTTGCTGATGCTGAAAATGGCACCAGTTTACACAGCAAAGAAACAATCAAAAATTGAATCGAAAGGTGCACGATTTGAATATGGTGATTTTCTTATTAAACTTGGTTCCGTTTCCAATTTGGATAAATTCAAAGGCTTACTTATCGAAATTGAATATAGGCCATGTGTGGTGTTAGCTTACTGCTGGGAGATGATACGTGAATTGTTGCAAGGTTTTCTCGGCCAACCGGTACCAAAAGAGTATCCAACATATTTTACACAACCAGTGGTCAATGCAATGGGTCAACAGCAAATGCATGCTAAACAAAATGATACATACGAACCACTTGATACTATAAATCAGTATTTGGAGCATTTCTTGAATTATCGCAAACAGAATCTTCTCCAAGCACAAGCAGCAGCTACAGCGATGACTTCACAAATGAATCCTAGCATGATTGGATAGTGGAAAATATATGCAAAAGATTTATTTAAAATGATTATTAAAATTAAAATGAAAAATATTAATTTATTACATACTCGTATGAATATAAATAAGATTTATTAATGTAATATTTTAAATATTAATAATATAAGTACTGTAAAATCGAAAAATAGTAGTGCTTATTGAAAATTAATAGGTTAATTTGTAATAAAATCTATATAATATAATAACATAAGAAGCCTCACCCGATTGACTATGATTTCTAACAATTTTAATACTACATATTATGTTTAACCATAACTTTTAATTGACATAAAGTTAAAAATGGTGCCAAAAGCGGTCAGGTGTATGTTCTGGAATCATTTGACTTTTCAGACGACCGATCGTCTCTCCAAACAGTGATTCAAAAATAGGGGCACCCAAGTGTGTTATAGTAATAATGTAACAAAGCTTGTTGAAGCTTATAAAGGTTCCAAGAACGGGCGGGTCTACGTCCAAGAGCCACTCGTCGAAAACGAGTGGGTCACACAAGTAGATCCCAGCGGGCTACAACAACAACAACAAGCTGTTATAAAGTGCCCACAATCGTAGTTTATTGACAGTCATAGCGAAACACAATTTCACTGCATAAATGATATAGTAAGTGAATAAAATATTAAATAATTAAATTAAACTTATTTATTAACCTTTTTTCTTTTAGATAAATAATATTTCTTTTATGCAATTTCGTCAAATTTAAAACAAACTAGGTTAACTTTGCACTTCCCCAATAAGGGATGAAATTATTCATAGCCCGAAATCAGAGTCAGTTATCCTATATAAGCAACAGAACCTACCGACAGCAAAGCAAACAACAGCAGTAAGAACTAGAATTACTACTTCAGCGATGGAATAGTATATATTTCTATCAGTATCCACCTGTTTTCATACTCAAACCCTATGGGCCTATTTACACTATCATGAACGTGAGATGAACTTAACGACAACGTGAACTGTCAGTTCAGTTTACACTATCATGAACTCTCATAAGCGTGAAATTTGTTTTGTTTTATGTAAACGTAGTGCAGCGCACAGAAATTGAGAGTATTCAGCATTAAAAGGTACACAAAAACATAACATTGCATATGTATGCGTGTCAAGGTGAAGAGACGCAGAAAATTTCATTGCGTGAAATTCATGAACTCACATCACACTCTCTTCCCTCTCTCATCAATAAGCAACCGGTTTTCAAGTTCATGTTCATGTTCATGATAGGTCCTATGTGTATGTAAAAATTAAAAGCTGTTGATTAATTCAATCCGATTATGGAAATGGAAAATTAGAGTAACTGAAGACGTATTCTCTTCTCTTATCGTTTTATTTATAGCATATGTTACATACTATAGCATTTCGATGTCACGTCAGTATAGGAACCAAGCTAACGATATATATAAGATAAGTACCATTATCTCTGCACCGTTATGTTTTAAAGACAATCTCCACGACATGTCCGTATAGGAAGCAAGCTCATGATAGATGTAAGATAGTTTCAAACTTATTGTAGGTATTACTATAGAAGAAAAAATAAAATTAATGAGAAGGGAGGTTGTTTTTTCATTTTTTCTGCACAACAACAAAAAGCAAATCTTGTTAAATTAAATAAATTATTATAAAATAAGTAAATTGAAGAAAACGTACGTATTGGCTTCATGCGAAATAAATTTGATGGTAATTATATGTTTGAGTTATATATTCCTTGGCGTGAAATTTGTCAAACATTTCTAATATTCTTTAAATCACAACCACCAATTATATAATGCAACTCAACATCAAATAAGTAATCGAATTCTGTCATTCTGCTCACGCACCACAATTACAAAGTCACTATTCCTTTATAGGCACCCGTCTCAATCGTCAGAACCGCTTCAACCATTTTTAAATTTAACACTTCGACCTCAGTGGTACCAGATCCAAACTCTGGTTAAGTCTCGCAAGTATTAAGTCACTTATTACCAGCTCTACTAGAAGCGGTATTCTTATTTAATCTATACACACTCTTAGAGGAAGATGATCAGACGTTTAGGTCTACTATGCTTCTGACAGACCTCGACGTTATTAAAGTCTAAGCTAAATCAATTTATCTTTGATTTTTTTTATATTTTTATAAAATAAAAATATATTCTTTTTTCTATTTTTTGAAATTAATCTACAATCATATTCCCACAAAATTGTGTTCGTTTCTTCGAACGTTCTGACTCCAAAAAAAATTTGCAAAAATGATTAAATTTATAATTAATTTACATCTATTTTTAATTCAACTTATTTTATATTGGAAATCAGTTACGGAGGAATTTGGTTGCGACTCTGAAACATCAATTAAATCTTGCATTGTAGCTTTAGCCTTTGTTATAGGAACTGACCGGGTGCTGTTGAAAATCCTATTCGAACCCTCGAAATTATTTCCATCAAGTCTTTTCTATGATGTCTGTCTTGTTATTATTAATTTATTTCAGATGCCAATGATTTTTACTGGAAACGATATATTTCTAGCAATTTTTAAAAACTTTCTAATGGCTGATAAAGAATCTAAATCTTGGAGTAATATTGGATTTCAGTTTTGGACCAAAACAAATGAAAAAGAACCGACATATCTTGGTTACATTGTGGCTTGTGTGCTATTATGTGCAGGAATATTGCCAATAAGAAAGATTTATAAATCAATGCAGAGAGGTTTTGGATTTAAACAGTAGTAAGAATAATACGTAAAATCATATAAGAATATTTTATAAAATGTATTTTTCATTTAAAAAGTAAAATTTCATTTACTTATAATAAAAGGTATTTGATGTTATAATAACGGGTCCTGACTGATTTTGGAATTCCAACTGCCCAATACCGGTATATCAAACCTAATTGTCAAAGTTTGTCAAGTAAAAAATAATGTAATATATTAATATCTCATATGTCTTTTTTTTTCAGGTAAATGATGAATTTCTAAAAAAAAATTGAGAAAATCATGATCCTTTTAAAAATGTTTAAATAAATTAATGCTTATATTACGATTTATGAACTTTTATGAGTTTTTGCTTCAAATAGTTCAGGCACTACGATGTTCGAGCAGTTAGAGTATAATCGAAATCGAACATTTTATTATTTATTTCAATTTTAAAAATAGCTCTAGCACTTTACTATGTTTCGAAGAGACAAAGTCCTTGCACTATCAAAAGGTTCAATAAAACCTCTTTCTCATTAGAACCATTATTTGAACTGATTTTATATTTGAATTTAGTTGTCGATGACTCTAAAACAATAATTAAATCATCACAATAATTACAAAGAAGCTTTGAATAATAGGTAATAATAACGTGGTCTATTATTAATATTATTATTATCATTTTGATCCCGGGGGAGATAAGTCTCTCCGAAGAGTGGGTGTTTTAGTCCGTATACTATATATTAATATAAAAATGTGTTTTATCATACGTTGTAAAGACTTAATAAGTTCTATTAATATTATTACCATTTTGATTCCGGGAGGGAATAAGTCTTTCTGAAGAGGGAGTGTGTATACTATTTAAGTATATGTTAAGAACTCCGGTACCCCATTTCGACTGCGGTCGGTTTGACGTTGCATAAAGCATTCCACCTCATCACCACAAAAAAAATGATCGAATTCTTTTGTTACTAAATATACCACAATAACCTGGACAGATCGCATAATCATTTGGGAGCTGTAAGTAGTTAAGTTTTTTTGTACAACTTCAAAGGAAATCTGTCTGAAATTGCATACACAAATAACTGATTCATACTTCCTTTATCAATATAAATAAATGCAAACTATATATCCAACCAAACAAATGGAAGATGGACAGCAAGATTAAACGTAGATATAACGATGTGGTCAGATAGGAAAACTGGCGAAGTAAACTATTATCTAATTCAATTTCTTTCTGATTAAGGATATTTTCAAAAAGCAAATATTTAGAAATGCATATATGGAAATGCATATATTCAGATGGCACGCTAAAAGATCATCACTTGAAACAATAGTTGGTAAAACAAACGTCAAAAATATCATAACGAAAATGATACTATCCGAAGAAAACTGGACCGCCACAGACTGATTCGTTACGATCATACTGAAACGGAAATATATAGTATTCTCGAAAATGATTGATTTCGAAAAAAAGAAAACTAATAAACCGAAGCGAGGCATGGACGAAGGCTAACAAAGAAAAATATTTCCATGGATAACCAACACAGGAACTCTATTCTGAAATATTCCCGATAAAATTCCAGACCGTTGTCTGACAAACGAGGGGAATTTTTTTAGTCCGTGCATATCGAACATATACGTTAAGCATTTTTAAACCTTCCCTCCGCATAAATAGAATAAAAAATGTATCCCACCATATAACATTATGCAAACATATCTATGTTGAGGCTAGTTGAGTTGAGTCAGTGCACCTGAGCACTTTTACTCTCTATTAACTGCGAGGTTTCTACAAAACCCCTCTTTACGCCTTGACTGGATTATTGTTTATCACTTCATCACACTAAACAATAATTGACCTCAGATCTGCATATCTCCCCGAGGAGCCTGTAACCATTTTGAGATTTGATAACGCAGTGTTAGTAAGTCTGTCAGATTTCGCAAATAATTTCAGGGCTCTATCCTTTATGTATTTTTTGATGAGATCAATCTTGAGGTCCCTGAGGATGTCATTCGTCCTAATGTACCAAGGAACTTTGAAAAGTCTTCTCAGAGCCTGGATACAAACATATAGAACCCTTTGAATTATACATTTCTACCTTTACTTCGATACCATATAGTTTAATCCATTTACATTTGATTTTTATTTTCCTTTTAAAGAAAGTAAAAAGCTTAATTAAATTTTTATATTTTTTATTATTATTTTAAAAATTTTACAGTCAGTTACAATTTCCATCAGTTTTCAAAATTCTAAGCGCTTTCCGGTAACAATGATTTCAAGTCTATTTTGGTTTTTTTTCAACATAAGATTAAGAACATGGGATATATTTTATATAGCTTTAACCGTATATTGGCAAATGAAAAGAACAGTTCCTGACAAGGACATATGTGCGAAATTTGTTCCATTATATATGTGTTTGTTCCTCCTTGCAACAAAAGTAATTATCACAAAAGTTATAAATATGAGCTTTAATAAAATGAATAGATATTATACCCACGTGTCATTCCTGTGGAATTTGTTCCTATTTATCCTTAAAATCTTAATCACAGAGGGTTTTACTGAAATTGCTATAGCAACATATTGCTCAGAATGTATAACTGACGTTATAACATCCGATACGGAACACTATCTTTGGACTATGCTAGGATTAGATCAGAAATATCCAACAATTTTAGGATATGTCGTGTTAGTTACAATGGTATTATATGCTCTGTACTCATTTGATGCAATGAAAAAACAGATTAGAGAATTAATTTATGGGAGACAATGGGAAACGTGCGATTTGGAATTTACCCTGAATGAGTTACGTCGCCAGCTTCAACGAAGACAACTCCAACCACATCGTGAAAATGAACATTCATCATAGGAACATTTCTATTAATATATTCATAAGTATAAAGGTAATATTATATATTAACTTCTATTAGATATATATAATTTTAAAAAAATATGAAAATCTGTAACTATGTTTGGAATATTGAGGTATTGTGATGCTTAGAATATCATTTATAGATCTGTACTTATTTGATGGATTTAAAAGATGAAGTAAAAATGATTAAAAGTGGAATGATTTCGATGTGGAATTTACCCTGAATGAGTCTCATCGCCAACTTGAATAAATAGAAAACCAACAACATCCTTATAATGGGCATTCATCACAAGAACATCCCGGAAAGGTTATTCATAATTGTCAAGGTAATATAACTTATTATTAATAACTATTATTTATAATACTAAATTCTAAAAATTTCTAGAAATATGTGACTATGGAATATTACGAACTTTTATATTAATGCAATATACTTTTTATACAATCGACGCAATAAAAAAAATATAACAAATATCTTAATCTCTTTTATTTAGAAAAAATTAATTAGATTGTAGGATATCTTATTATTGTCGCAACTACAAATCTGTAATATAAGACCCATAGTAATAAAATGGCCGCAGAACTAATTAGAAAGATATATTGAACAACTTGACCTCGAGCTATTTTGTACAGAAAATACATAGTTATCTTACATAGTCTTAGTTCGAGTTATATCTGAAAAAAATATGAACAATCAATAATCAATAATCTAAAATAAATTCAGATTAGATTCGAAAAGAATAAGGACAAGAAATTCCAACCAAATGGCATTCCAACGATTTATCAAACATTTTAAATAATATTTTGATTATATCTGAGAAGAATGAGATAAAAATTTGAAGCTAAGAAAATTATATGGTTTATAAGCCTTTAACTGAATTTAAGGTAGATTTAGAAGAAATGGAGGCAACTTCTGGTTGAGATAGAAATATTTTTTAGGGGTAATACAATAGATGTTATTTATATATATAAATATGTTGAAATACACCTTTCTTCCATTCGATAAATATATTAGCAATAAAACAGTTGAAGATGTCACACAACTTCGTCCTTGACCGAGTCGAGTAACCTCTGTCGGTCAGCTCGATCTGTTTGTTGTTGTCAGTTCGTAGTACGGACCGTCTCCAAATCGGTGGTCACCTGGCCCCTCCACCGAAGATGAAGATGTCCTCTACCGCGTTTTCCACCTGCGGGTACCGAATCAAACACTATTCTAGCCGGAGCAGTTTCTTTTATTCGCACAATATGATCAAAGCAGCGAAGCCAGAAGCAATTGAAAAAGTAGGTAATTAAGAATCTGCTCTACAAAACTCTTATCATGCCTCCACTGCTGTATGGTGCAGGAGCTTGGACAATAACCAACAGTGATGGGAAGACGTTAGAAGCCTTCGAGAGAAAAATTTTTCGGAAGGTCTATGGTCTCTTACGCGTTGGCGACGCGTATCGAATTAGATGGAATGATGAGCTGTAGGAGCTACACCGATACATTGATATAGTTAAGCGCATAAAGAAACTTAGAAATGTCCAGTGGAATACGATAATTAGGTCAGAGATAATCTAGAACCCATATTTTCCTTTCCAATAGTAACCGCCAATTAAATTCTGAAAATTAATCTATTTGATCTGGTCTTGTTTAGCAATAAATATTGTAAGTTATGCGAACTGACATCTGACTTCTGGATGCACTTATTAAACTGAATAAGATCGAATGTGACCTAACGTCTGGACTCAAAAGTAGAAAAGTAGAGATTTATTGGAGACAATACAACGAAATTAGTATTAAATTAGTATTATAAGCGATAAATCGTAATGTTGTATATCTGCCATAATGGTTCTACATAAATCTGGACTATTTTCATAAACATGTGAAGAAATTAGGGTTCATCTATTATTATCACAAAAATAAAACTAGCATATAATCATATATAATATATATTTATATATACTTTATTCTGTTTTCTTAATAATATTGCAAGTATAATTTCGATTGAATTATAAATTCTTTGTTATTATTTGTATAAATTTTATTTTTTTCTGTACATATTGTACGAAGTATATATATATATATATCTTTTTATTCAATAAGCAATATATATTAATTTTTCGTATCATTTCTTTTTTTATTTTATAAAACTTGATTGAAAAATGTTTCCTTTCTTTCTTTTTTAATATTTTATGTTTTTAATTCAATAGTAATAGGATTTTAAAAATACGCATATGTTTATTGTATATAATATATAATAATAATTTTCTGATTTCATGTTTCGTAATTATATACATAATTTATATGGTTTTATAAATTTGTATTTATTTTCGTAAAAGTAATTTTTAAATTTAAATTAAATTTTGCATAAAAATAATTATTTTTTTTATATTTTTCTAACATAAAAATTGAAATAGCAGCCAAATATTCTCTCTAAAATTTTTATTTTTTAT